GAAGGAAAGAAAGAAAAAACAACAAAACCTCCCACAGTCCCACAGTTATTTTGACAGGAAAGTGGGAACCTAATACAGTACTGAGCACCAAAGGGTCAAGCGTCCTGCTCTGAGGGCCACCCTGCCTTTGCCCTGGAGGCATTAGGCATCTACCCGTCTCCTGTATTCCTCTACCACCCTGGTGCAGCACAAGAGGGTTGCTTGTTTGGAGCGGTGAAACCCCCTGACCCTGAGCATCCTCCTTCTCTGAGCCTCAGTTCTCCATCTGCAAAATGGGAATAAAATACCTCTTGTGCTGGACAAGGACTGACGAGGACCTACTGAGCGCAGACTCTAGCACAGGTCTCAATGAATAGGAAACCGAGTTCTAGAGAGATGATGAGGGCTCAGGTGTTCTGGTCCATTTTGCACCCCAGAGCTGGTGGGAGAAACAGGCTCTTCCAAAATCTGACATGGGCCAAAGAGGCACAGGACACCATTCTCTGCCCTTGTCAGGCTGCAGCCTGAGCCTGGATCTTCTAGAAGCCTGAAGCTGAAAATGAATGTGACTGTCAGATACTAAGGGAACATTCTGGGCTTTGGGGAGCTGGCTCGAAGCTCTGGCCCAGGTGCTCTGGAATCTTTTCCGGCTTTGCCCCCAAGACCCTGGAAAACCCATCCAGGGATCTCCTTGTGCACAGGGAAGAGACCAAGAGTTGGCTAAGGACCCCTGCCGCCCTCAGCATGGGCCTAGGGAAGCAAGGTCTTACTTACTTTTATCAGATTTCTTCTTCTCTTTTTTGCTTTTTGGGTCACTTTGATCTCCACCCTCAACCTTCACCATCCCCAGCTCCCCTTCTGGCTGGTCCCTGGCCCCATGGGAGCCGGAAGGTCCCTTCCCCTTCTTCTCCTTTGTGTTGCCACTTGCTCTGTCTCTCTTTTTCCCTTTGGAAGTCCTGGAGGCCTTTTCTGAAGAAACGGCACTCTCCCCGCCTTCCTCGGACACTAGCTGCTTCTTCTTTTTGCTCTTGGGGGCTCTGGTGGCTGACTGGTCTCCTGACAGCTTCCGTTTCCGGCCTTTCCGGCTGCTGTCCTTGGCGGCATCTGTGGCTTTCTTCCTTTCCTGCTCTAGTAGCTCCTTCAGGACCTTCATCACTGAGGCCTGCACCTGGGCCTCACTCAGGGGCCAGGGCGCCCCCTGGAAGTGCTGGGCAATGTTGCTCTGCAGTCCCTGTGTGGAGTCTGTGGAGCTCGGGGCTTCCTTCCTGGGCTTCTCAGAGGTGGCACCTGAGGTGGCTTCCTTTTTACCTGTGGAGAGAGGAGTTGGAGTCAMGGATCTAGGGAAGCTGAGGACAAATATCTATGGTGAGCGCTGAGAGGATGCAAGGAAAGACAGCTCCTCCTCTTGCAGGGGTATAGACAGGAAGGCAAGGTCCAGTGGTCACTCTGTCCCATCTCCGTCTCCAGAGTCCTTGCGTTCCCCATACCTGGACCTTGCTTTCAACTTAGAGCTCTTTTGTCTTTTCATACAAAACTCTACTCAAATTAGGGTGAGGGATGGACAATGAACCCAGATGTTGACGTGAGGCCCTGAAATCTACCATGAGATGAAAGAGCAAACAGAAGGGAGACGGTATCGTGTAGCCAGGAGTCCAGAGCTGGGTCAGGAGATCTGGTCTCTGAGTCTGACTTTACCACCAACCTCAGTGACTCTAGCCAGGACCCAGATCCTCTCAAGGGCTGTTTCCCTGCTTGTAAAATGAGGAAATGGATGAATAATGAAGTCTCTCTATTATAAGCTATAGATTTAAAATAAAAGTGAAGGGCTTGTAGACGCTCAATTCATAATCCATYGACACAGGGGGCCCTTGGCCCTTCTAGGCCAGGGTTCTAGGCTGCTGGTGGGGGCACTGGGTGCACAAGTGGTGGCTGACTAAGTAGGTTTACTGCCTGCCAGAGTGACTTCTGGTGCAGCCTTTGTTTAGAATTTTCCACGCCTCTGCTTGCCTTTGATAATTGTGTGCTGACTACACGTGTAAAAAAAACCTTCCACAGCCCCCTCTAAAATGTCTCCTTGTCACACCCGCCTCTCACAAAGAGAACACTGGGGAGGAAAGTGAGCAACGACTCCGCTTCTGACCCAGCACGCGAAACTGCTACTTAAAGCCCAAAGACTGGGCCTTGCCACTGCCTCTGGCCTGGACAGGGCTCTACTCCATTCTGGGCTAAGCAGGCATAAAGCTCTTACCTGCTGTGCTCTGGAAGAGGGCTCAGTGGTTTGGCTCTGGAGGTGACTGCTTTGAGGAGGGATAAAGGCAAACATCCATGTCACACTGGGTTGGGGGCTACTCCTTGCAGCATGCAGTGGGCCTGACTGTGCCCATAATTCCCTCCAGTGTGCCCTCCAAAGTCCATGTGACTATTTTCTGCATGCCATACCTTGACATGCCCTGGAGCACCACCCTCTGCAGGGCCTGTTTTAGACATRTTTAGAAACCCAGGGTGGGCTAGAGATGTGGTTCAGTGGTAGAGCGCTTGCCTGGAAAGCATGAGGCTCTGGGTTCAATCACCAGCACCAAAAAAAAAAAAAAAAAAGAAAAAAGAAAAGAAACAAAACCCAGGGTGGTCTGGGGATTGTCAGTGCTTTAGAGTGCGTCAGAGTGGCTCTGGGCTGGACCATTGCCAATTCCTGCAAACAGGCTTCCAGTCTTCTGTCTGAATCAACCTCAGTGCCTACACCCCACATCATGATCCTGTGTTGGGAAGAATAGTCAACGGGGATGGCTGGAAAGAGCAAGGTCTATTTCACAAGTCAAGGAGCTGCTTCCAGGCTGGGGACATAGCTCAGTTGGTAGAGTGCTTGCCTCACACACATAAGGCCCTAGGTTCCATCCCTAGCACTACAAAAAAAAAAAAAAAAAAAAAAAAAGGGTGCTGCTTCCTCTAGGCAGATATTCTCCTACAGCTGCAACCAGCTTCCTCCAGCTAGACACACCTGGCTCCTGGGCTGCCCAGACCATGGGAGCCAGATACCTCAGGGTGGGCCCCACTTGCACTATGAGAAGGTCTCACTGGAGACCAAAGCCCCTCATTTGGAGAGCCCTGGTGGCAGACAGGACCACGTTAGTGGCACCGTTGCTGCAGGAGGACAAAAGGAGGCCCACTGYCTTGTCCTTCCGCGTCCTACTGTCCCTTGACTTACCTGTTTTAAGGGAAACAGTGGCTGCCTGCTGAGACTCCAGTTTGCCCTCTGGGTCATCTTTTTTTGCCAGAGCAGAGGAAACCAAGGGGCTGGAGTCTGGCTTTGGAGTCACCTTTGAAGCCTGGGAATTGGCCAGGGTCAGCCCCGGGGTCACATAACCTGAGAGGAGAGACTGAAGAAGCCCAGTGTGAAAGAGGCTGCAAGCCCACCCACCCCGCCCAGAAGCATGACCTGCTGTGAGGACACCAGCCCAGGGCGCTCAGGCCTACCCTGCTGAGGCAGACTGAGTGGGCACTGAGCCCCGGGGTGCTTCAGTGCACCTTGTGAACTCCTTGATCAATACACATGTTAGACAAGTACATCCAAAAAGGAAATTTCTTATTATGAATGCAAACACAAAAGTCACTAGCACTTGCCATGTACAGAGAGAGGAACCTTGAAGAAACCTGGTTAAGAAATGTTTTTGTCTGGGAATCACCTAGAATCACAGACCCAGAAGTTAACTGCTTGGGCTCCTAGGGATTGGGGTARGAGCTTGCCTGGCTCTTTCTTTTTTGGGGGGATTGAACCCAGGGGCGCTTAACCACTGAGCCACATCCCCAGTGCTTTTTTATATTTTATTTAGAAACAGGGTTTCACAAAGTTGCTAAGGCTGGCTTTGAACTTGCAATCCTCCTGCCTCACCCTCCCAAACCACTGGGAATACAGGTGTGCACCATCATGCTCAGTCGCCTGGTTCCTTTGCAGGCAGGATTTTGCCCAGGGCAAGAGGAGGGGGCCAGATGTCTGACCTGAAGGACACCAGGTTTAACTGGTCTAAGAGTCCAGCCCAACCCTGTGGGCAGCCAGCCCCCTTCCTGGCAGTTACCTGGGAAGGGGCCACCACTTCATCCTCGCTGGACTCTTCTGTAGTCTCCTCCACCAAAGTCTCCTTCTTAGAAGGGGTTGGACCTACTGGAGAAGCAAAGGTATCCTGTTGAGGGCCCCTGGTGGCCCTTGTCAGTTAGGCAGAGTGAACCCTTCAGAGGCCTGAGATGCCAGGTCTAAGTCCCCCCATCCCTCCACCCAAGGACTCAGGGTTGGGCCCTCCCTGTGGAAGGTCCTGCTACATCCTGTTATTCACGGCCTTCATCTCCAGCTCCCAAGGTCCCACTTATATCCCCTGCTTTCCCTTGTGGGGAAGCCTGGTCTTGGGAGTTAGGGGAGTCAATAAGAGGAGTCTGATACCAAGAAGCTACCAGCAGTTCAACAAGAGTCAGGGTTTTGAAATCATTTGGACAGATTTCCTCAGAGGGCTGGATGAACGGGTAAACTGAGGCCCAACATGGGATAACATGGCCAAGGTCGCAGATCAAGCTGGGACACAGAGCTGAGGCCAAAGCTCAGGGTTCTACCAGGCTGTATCCCACCCCTGCGCTGGACCTGCCCTCCTAGCACCCTCACCTAGCCTGGGGATTGACTTGGCTGTCTGAGGTCCCCTAGTGTCCTCGCTCCCTGAAGAGCTGTCGCTGCTGTCCTCGCTGTCGTCTGAGCCCCCAGGGGCTTTGGCTTTGGAGAGGCCCGAGGGTGTGGCTRTGGCCTGCTGGCCTGCAGGAGGCTTGGGTTGTTTGAGCTTGTTGTTCACTCTGTTCTGGACAGGGGAGCTCTGGGGATGAGTCACAGTGAGTGCTCCCACAGCACTGTCAACCTAATTTGATGAAAGAAAGAGTGGAAGGTCATGTGGAGCAGTATGGTGCCTGCTTAGCACAACAACGGGCTGGGCACTGTATCAGAGCCACACAGGTGGCCTCCTGGATCCTTCCCGCAGCTCTCCAGGGTGAACACTGTAGTTCCTCCTTACACACCAGCCCACCGAGATCCAGGGAGGTAAGTCCTGGGACTCAGGGTTGGGCCCTCCCTGTGGTAGGTCTGGTAACCCTGCTTCCCAGCTCACCTCACTTGAAGACTGGGTCCTGGCAGGAGGCTGGGCTTCATTTGCTTTGTGGGCGAGGACTTTCAGGGCGGCCTGTGTCAGCGGGAGGGAAGCTGAGTTCCGCTTTGCCACCTGTGGACAGTGAGGGGCAGCTCTGAGACCAATAGGTAACTGGGATGCCATCTAGGTCATGCCTGGTCAGACCCTGTCTGGCTGGGGTAAGAAGGGACCCAAGTATCAAGAATCATGGGGCTAGAGTTGGGGACGAGCAGCAATTAGAGGGGCAATGTCACCATTTGGGCAGAAAGATGGGTGGCAGGTTTAAGGTTATGAGAAAATCACCTTGTTCTTAGAGTAGAGAGAGAGCTCCCAGCAAGAAAGGGAAGTAGCTTGATCCCACCTGAGGCCCACTCTAACTCGCACCCTCTTCAGGATATACCTCTAGCTGGGGGTCCCCCTACTTTCTGCACCCACCAACAGTCAGGGAGCAAGAACTTCAACTTCCCGATCTTCAGGGTGCCCCCAGCTCACCTCCTCAGGGGGGGCTTCCCTGCCCATCCTTCCTAAAGCAGATCACTCACAATTCCCTAGTTTATGTTCTGTTTCCTTCATAGCATCAAACAGTTGGTGGGGAACTTGTTTCTGTTTGATTTCCTTGTCTAATGGTTGCTTCCCGACTGGCTTGAGAACTCCATCCATGAGGACAGGGGCCCTGCCTGTCTTGTTCCTGCTATTGCCGTGTCTGGCAAGGGCAGATGGTCAGCACCATCTACTGGCTGAGTGGCCAAACAGGTATGGGCTTTGGGGGTGTAGTGATCATGGGCTGGTTACCCACCCAGCCAGCACACACCCTCTCCTTCCAGAGGCCATTCTTGAGGTATAGCTTGTGTGTACCCAGTGGGTGGGTGGCACATCAGCCCCTCCAAGTTGGCACTGCCCCCTAGGTGCATGGCAACTTTCTTTCACCCTCTCAAGAAGAACTCGGTGGGGTGCAGTGAACAGCTCCTTCTCAATGGGATAACAAACCAATAAGGCTGAAAGAGCAGGGACTTGGGAATCAGGAGACCTGGGTTTTGGCCCTGCCTAATTCTGATCAAACCACAGCCCAGGTGGGGATGTGTGCTCAGTTTTATCTTCTGAACAGTGGGTCACTGCATTTTTAGATTCAGGCAAAGGTCAAATAACAATGCACTAAAAATGGTGAAGAATGCTGGGAAGAATGCTAAAGGGATTGTTCTATACATTCTGAAGGGCAACTTTTGTTCATGGCATTTCAAAAGTGGGAGAAAGAAAATAAATCAGAAGCTTCACCATGCTGAAAAAGCTGACGAAGGACTCCAGAGGGAAGTTGGCCCTGTTCAGCTGTGGGTTCCCTGAAAGCATTTCTGATTCTGTTTTCTGTTTGGGGTACTCGTGATTGAACCCAGGGCTGCTATACCACTGAGCTACATCCCCAGCCCCTTTCATTTTTATTTAGAGCAGAGTCTCCCTAAGCTGCTTAGAGGCTTGCTAAGTTGCTGAGGTTGGCCTCAAATTTGTGATCCTCCTGCCTCAGCCTTCTGATTCATTGGCATTACAGTGTGTGCCACCATACCCTATAAAAGCAATTCCTAACAATACAAAAATGACTTGGGAATCTGGCATCAGGTCTATGGTCTGAAGGCCAGGAAGGCCTCTGGCTATGAGGCCAATGCTATTGGGGGTGGGAGACAGCCACTGCAGTGGAATCCAGCTGCCCTCCCTCTCCGTCCACCAGGTACCTGAGTGGCTGCTGCCTCCTGTTTCTTGCCTTCCGATGTCCGACTGGACTCCTCCCTGCTGTTGGCTCTGGGAGTCGTCCGTGCATGGGCAGTGGGCACAATCACATTGGTCTTAATAGCTGAAATAGAGGACAGGAGCATATCAGGATACAGAAACCCCATGGCCTCCTCAGTGGTGGCACAACCCAGTCACCAGCCCATCTGGGGACCCAGTGCTGTGCGTAGGCCTTCCACAGAAAGAGGTTTCACTCCATACCCCAAGCATTCCAGGCAGGGGCCTGTCATCTGACACAGCTCAGGGACATCCAATGGCTGCTATGGCAGCGACCCCCCACTTTTTCCTCATGTCCTCTCCTCTCAGCCAGTCAGGCTGCTACACCTGAGCCATGTGCTAGAACACTGGTACCAGAGACTCCTCATGTAAAATGGTCTCTCCTGAGAGTCACCCAGATATTTGCACAGTCTGTTCTAGAGTTCACCGGAGAGCAGCTTGTCAGAGCCCAAGACAAACCCCTGTCTCTTCCGACATGGTGCTGGCAGAGTGGAATGTGGTACTGTCATGTAACCAGTAGGAACCACACCATAAATATGTACTGACAAACCTTCAATGTCACAACATACCCACCGAAGATGACAAGCACTACGTACAGTATGGTCTACTTTACAAACACAGGTGTGTCTTAGGCTTCAGTCAAGTCAGCAGCAGAGAAACGTTAGAAGTAATAATATTTGAGATGCAGGCAGTGGGGTTATAGGTGATATTTTTTCTTCTTCCTTTTTTTTTTTTTTTGTGGTACTGAGTTAAACCCAGAGCCTCACATATGCTAGACAAGAGCTCTACCAATGAGCTACATCCCCAGACTTCTAAATTTTGAGACAGGGTTTTACTAAACTGTCCAAACTGGCCTTGAACTGCAATTCTCCTGCCTCAGTCTCTATAGCGGGGATTATAGGTGGGTACCAGGTGCCCAGCTGGTAGTTTTTCTTTTGTGCTAAATATATTAYGGTTTTTTAAAAAATATATTTTTTAGTTGCCAATGGACCTTTATTTTTATTTATATGCGGTGCTGAGAATTGATCTCAGGGCCTCACACATGCGAGGCAAGCACTCTACCACTGAGCCACAACCCCAGCTCATAATATCATTTCTTAATTACCTTGCCAGAATTAGGTATGATTTCCTCATTAAAGTGTTATAACAACAATAAGAGTAACAGCCATTTTTTGTTGTTATTGATAGAATCACAGATTCTTTTAAGTCAAGGACACCCCAGATCTGGTCCTACCTTCTGTTGATAGTGAGTTAGCCCTTCATCAGAGTGACAATGCAGGGCCTAGACACTTGGTCCCTGACCAATCCYTGGCCATGCAACTCGACCAGAGTTCTGTCCCCTTTCGCCTCAATGGGGTCATTGCCAGCAGCTCCACCCAGCTGAGCCTGGCAGGTGAAGCAGGGCACTCACCAGGAGTGGAGGACTGTGTGGCGGGGATCAGGTCTTCATCCTCGCTCTCGGAGGAGGAGTGCCGGGCAGTGCCATCTGAGACCCGGGCCTTCCTCAGGGTGTTCGAAGCTTGGGCCTGTGCAGGAGTAGCAGGTGGGCCAGCTGGACTACGATTAGGGTCGACAAAAATCAGAGGGGGTTTAATCACCTTGAAAAACAAAAACAGAACATACCCCCCGGTGATTAAAGGTTTGGCCAGGGAAAGAGGAAGACAGGAACTTTGTAAGGCAAAGGGGTCCAAGAAGCGCAGGCGCAGCTGGGCACAGAGGCCACTCTAGCTGCCTAGGACACTCCCAGCCCACACCCATCCCAGGGCACCTTCCAAGACCCAGCACAACACTTCACAGTTCACAGGAGCCCACCTGACCCTGACAGTGAACCCCCGAGGGCAGCAGTATCAGTTACACTCACAGGTGGGAGGTCTACAAGCTACAAGCCCAGAAAGGGAAGGAGTGCCCACCAACACAGCCTGCTAGAAGCAAAGCCAGGGCCACAGTGTTCAACTGAGCCTTCTTTCCCCTGGCTGACTTTAGAGACCTGGTGAGGGGGAGCCCTAAAGTCTTTCCTACAGCGACCTGGCCATAATGTAAGGTTCCCCAGGAAGGTGCTTAGAGTCTAGCTCTCCCCATTGCAGCARCTCTGACACGTCCTTGAGATGTGGCCCAGGCTGCAGCCCCAGCTACACTGACCTAGTTTCAATACATAAAATACATGAGGAAAACAAGGGTGGTTGGGTGGGAAAGAACCACGGGATTAAGATTTAAAGGGATTAATAACCTAACGCAGCGTGTGGCCCTTATTTGGAATCTTATCTGAACACATCAAATATAAAAAATACCATTCATGRGATAATTGGGGAAATGAGAACGCTTGTCTGGATAGGTCAGTTTTTTTAGCTGTGATATACAATCCTGGTTGTGTTTAAAAGGAAGAAAAAAGAAAGAGACCTCATTCAGACCGGCACACTGAAATCCTAGTGGATGAGATGACAGGCCTGAGACCAGCTTCAAAGTGGCCAGGGTGCTGGGAGGTGAGGGGGGATGTGCTCGGAGCCAGCCTGACCGGTGCGTGTGACTGCAGAGACTGGGCTGGCCGTGGAGTTCTTTACACTGCCTCACCTTTGGGTGGGCTCTCAATGTCCCAATGAGAGAGTGACAGGAAAAGCAGGTGGCAACAGCAGCTCACTGGTACTGTGCAGGCCAGTCTGGCTAGGAACTGCAGCTCCTAGAATGTGCCACCCGTACACCAGGGGAATCCAGGTCTGCTTCCTCCTAAAAGCCCCCAACTAAGGAGAGCAGGGAGAGCCATGAGCCAAGGACAGGGGCACCTACTTTCCACTTTGGAAATGTCAGCACTAACCTGAGGTCTGTTCCTGCTCTGGCTAGTGGGGCAATTCAGGGCAGGAGGGGGAGGTGCCTGAGGCCTGGGTGAGGGGCAGTTAGACCTGGGGCTGGGTTGGGTCTCTGTTCGACACACCACCCTGCCCACCTYGTGGGCCTGACTTGTCATTCAGTATCCCTCAAGGCGCTGTGCTGAGAGAGGTAAAGTAAAAAGTAAGCAGAAAGGTGCCTGCCGAGGGTGGAAGCTCTGCTGGGCTTAGGCCCTTCCTACCCCTGCCAAACAGCCTCCCCCACGGCTGCTCTGATCTGCCACTTCCAGAGCCTTCCTTCCCACGTGATGAAAAAGAGAAGGATGCAAAGTGGGAGAAGGCTTGCAGTGGAGGGAGGGGGATCTATATATATGTGAGAAGACAGAAGAACAGATTGTCGGGGACCAAGAGAGGCAACGAACCCACTGAGGCAAACAATAGCGTCTCGGGATGTTAAAAGCAGCGCAGCAGCAGAGCCTCCTCCCAGCTCCACCGGCCCACGCCACCCCGGCCCGGCCCGGCCGCTGGGCTGTGGGAGGGAGGTGGTGCAGGGGCCCGGATGCAGAGGGCGGCTGGGCCACAAGGGGCCCACAGCCTGGTACTATTCTAAGCAGGAGAGCAAGAATCAGGCCTGGAGAGTTCAAAGAGGAGGGCTGCATCACCAAGGGTGCAGGGGACACCCCCTTCTGTGCCTGCCTTTGCCATGACAACCCTGTGTGGTCAAGCCACAGAAGCCCGGAGACCTAGTTTCTCACCTGTTGAAAGAACAAATAGTAATCCCTGTCGGTCACTCACTGGGATGGGGGCACTGCACATCAGCTCAGGCAGGGGCTCCTGTTCTGGTTAGAGAAGCTCCTTGAGCGTCATTGTCCTGCTCGAGCCCATGGCTGCACCTATAGGTGCAGCATACTAAGGACCAGAAGGAGTCCAGGGGCTCCCTTCCCACTCGTGCTCTGGTGCCCGTGGGAAGAAGCCAGAGGCTTCCTGGGCAGCACCTGTGGCCTGTTAAAGTGGAGGTCACAGCTTGTGTCCTCACTCAGCAAGTCTGGGGCCAGGTGGGGCTGGTGGCTCAGGCTACAGACCCCAGCATGGGACACAGTCACAAAGGCATGATTGCTCCAAGAGTCCCTGCCAAAACTGCCTGTGGAGTGGAAGTGTAGCTCATTGGTAAGAGGAGTACTRAGCACAGGAGTCCCTGGGCTCATCCCCAGCACCTCAAAAACAACACAAAAACCTGTCCGCGGATCGGGTAGCAGAATCTGGGCCAGTCCTACCCTAGGGGACTAAGAAATGCCACTATTTGGGGCTGAGAATTTTGAGTTTTGAGCCTTGCCCCAGAGGTTGAAAAGGCTGAGGTCCAAAGACTTTGCTCAGGGTGACCAGCAAAATGCTCTAAAATGCAAATTGGAAGTTAGTTCTCTAGGGACCAGCCAGGAGCTCCTCCTAGTACCCAGCATRCCAGGCCTTAATTTAACACCCTTAGTTTCTGACAGATTTCTCCTCTCTGAAACTCTGAGGGCAGGGCCTATGTCTTTTGTTGTTTTGGCACAATAATAGAGAAAGTGACACTTTCAAAAAAATTAATTAAGCTGGTAGGTAAAAACCACATATGCTCTTGGTGCACATCCATGCCGTGACACACATGTGTMGTGGAATGGCTCCCTTGAGCTATTTAATGCATGCGTGGCCTCACACACCTACCACTTTCCTTCTAATCAGCACCCAAGCCAGGCTGCAGCGCAGGCCCTAGCTGAGGCCCCTGCTCTACACAACATGGCAGAGGGGCAGCCAGGGGACTGGGATTGGAGCCTGGGGCTCAGCCCACAACCCTGGTATCAAGTTCTTGCTAGGTTGGTGGGCTAATAAGAAAAACAGCAAAAACTGCCAATAGCAAAATGTTTGAGAAATGCTTAATAATGATAGTAATCATAATTAAGGGACTGAGGACTGAGAAGCTTAAAGTCCCCCAGCTAGGCGGAGGCCATAGCTTCCCCAGGAAGTGCCTGTCTTCCCAATCTTCCCTGGGGAATGCACAAACTGCCGACTATTTTCACTTCTGCTTTTCAAACAGGGGCTCCAGAATCTTCAGGACTAACGTACCAATTAAATGGTTCAGTTTAAGCATGATGTTCATTTTAATTGTGTTAGCCAGCCCCCGCAGGGAAACGCAGAGGGGCCCCTCCCTCACAGCTGTTCTGAGCCCTCAAGAAGGAGACTTCACAAAGCTCCACAGCGAGCCAGGGGCACAGCCCAAGCCCCAGAGAAATGTCCAGACAGGGCCAGGGAGCAGGCCAGGGAGCATGGCCTGGGTTCAAATGGATGGGGCAGGCTGCTCAACTCTGAGCCTCATTCCCCTCCTTAAAATACAAATAACAAAAGGACCTTCCCTCAGAGTTCTTGTGGGGATTAAACAGAATAACTCAAAATGGGGTTCAGTACAGTCCCTGGCACACAGGGAGGGACCCATAACATTAATTTTTCACCATGGTTTTGGTGAAGGTGTGCGAGCAGCCGTCAGGAGAACCTCAGTGACAGACTGACACCTGATACAGAAGGACAGTGGTGAAGCAGGCCCACTGGTGTGGGGGCTGCAGGATTCCAGCAGCTCTGGCGAGGCTGCTAGAAAGGCCTGGGTTCAYGTGAAAATTTAGGCCCCAGCAGTCAAGCTCCCTTGGCCTCTGAAGTCAGAGAGATGGGCTTGGTCCCTCCCTTGGGGACGTTGTCTAAGGAACACCAGGGGTGCAGCAGAGCATGCTAAGGTGCCACAGTTGCTCAGGTTGGGGTCTTGGGCGAGGCCATGGAATTCTGATGAGCCCTGAGAAGCTCAGGTCCCAAGCCAGGACAAGAACACACAGGGGCCAGGAGCCAGTGTTTGTGCCCTTCTCAGCCGTCTTCCTGAGAATCTGGGGAAATTGCTTCAACTCTCAGGGCCTCCATTCCTGAAGTGTCAAATGGGGCAATGCCACCTGCCCTCCTGACAATCACAGGCATTCTGGCACAGGCAGAGGACTGTGCCAAGGACTTGAGGTACTTGCATCAGTATAGATGAGGAGGCAGGYACCGTTACTGACCCCATCCATTTTACTACTGAAACGCCAAGCCTCAGGAAGGTCAAAGCATTTGCTGGGGCCTAGGGCTGGTAGGTGTGGACCTGGCCTCTGGCCTCTACCCTCCGCTACCCTGCTTGGAAGCCTGTGTGTTCAACTTTTTCTGCCGCCTGCCTCATGGGGTTACTGTCCAGATGAATGTGTCAGAGAGAGCTCTGGAAACTGTGAAGTGCCGTTTAAAAGTGGCAAGTTTTCCCTGTGGCAAGATCTGCACCCCACCCCCAATTCACCACCCCTGCTGAGCTGGGCCTGGCGTGTCTTCAGACCAGGTGCTGCCTACCTGGCTTGATGGCAGCTCTTCGCCACTGCTGTCTGAGGACACCTCTGCATTCTCAGCGGGTCCTGAGGTCAGGGCCTTGCCTCTGGCAGTCTTGGAGGTACCATCCTTCTGAGGAGGCAAGAACATGATGGGGAAGGGGTATGAGCTGAGGGGGAACACAGCTAGTGACAATGCCCCTCTTGTGTTCTGGCTCTCTGGGGAAGATGGCACAACCTGCTGGCCAGGCATGCCCCACAGCCACTGGACACATATCTCCATCTACTTACCTTCTTCCAGACCTGACTCTGAACTGGAAAGGTGTATGACTTAGTCACAGCTAAAACCTGGGGGCTGTGGTGCTGTAGCCTGGGGCGAGGTTATAGGTCAGTGGTCTCAGCACAGCTCATATGTGGTTCTAACACCCCCAGCTAAAAGTGGCCTGCTGGCCGCCATCTCTCCCGACCAGGCCAGGCATGAGGGGCTGGCTGAAGGGGTCCTGAAGTCAGGCCAGAGGGCAGCTCCGTGCTCCCTACCAGGATAGAGACTCTGTCATTACTCAGTTCAGCCACAAGAAGCATTGGGTGTGCCTGAGCCCTTGATTCCTCAGGAGGAGCTAAAAGAACCTGATTTGTATGAGGCATTTCCCAATTTTAACTTTTCTTATTTTTGTCTTTTTCAGTACTAGGGATTGAACCCAGGGGAGCTTTATCACTGAGCCTTGTCCTTAGGCCTTTTCATCTTTGAATTGCCATTTAAGTTGCCAAGTCTGGCCTAGAACTTGCCATCCTCCTGCCTCAGCCTCCTTTGTTGGAATTACCGGCATGTGCCACCGCACCCAGCTTCCCAATTTTTTTTTTTTTGGGGGGGGGGGGTACCTGGGATTGAACCCAGGGGTCCTTAACCACTGTGCCATATCCCCACTCCTTTTTAATATTTTATTTAGAGACAGGGTTTCTCTAAGTCGCTAGGGTCTCACTGTGCTGAGGCTGGTTTTGAATTTGTTATCTTCCAGCCTCAGCCTCAAGAACTGCTAGGATTATGGGTATGCACCAACAGCTCTGGCTCCAGCTTCCCAATTTTTAAATGGGGCAACTACAACACACAGAGTTGACTGCTTCCCCAGCAGCGATGCCTATCAATCTTCCTTACGGATTCTGACTCTGCTCTGGTGGTGCTCATCACCTGCTCTGGGGAGGGTGGCCCTCCTCCTAGCCACTCATGGGAACTACAGGCCCCTCATCAATGATCAGGGAGAGGGCTTGGGCACCACCAGCCTCAAATCTGGATAAGGAGACCTGAGAAGGGGTCTGCTAGGAATGTTTGCAGCTCTTCAGGAGATGCTACAGCCCTGCTATGACCAAGAGGCTAGTGGGTCATCAGGGAAGCTGAAGAACTGGTCCCTTAGTGCTAAAGCCCTTCTGAACTGGGTTTTCTCCTGCAGCCTGGGACACCATGACTGACACAGCAACTCACCAAAAACTTATGAATCAAAAAGCTGCACAGGTCAGTATATGATTGGGATCCATGTCTTCGCCTGGGATCTAGACCCTCCATGTATGTTACCAGTGGCAAGCAACAGGAAGGATGCTGTCTGTGAGACAGTGCCTTTACTGACCACCTGCCCTTGGGTCCATCGGCTGCACACACTGCTTTGTGAAGTTCACATCTCCACCTGTGCCTGGGCATGTCTGGTCTTCCTTTTAGCTCAGTTCAACCATACTTGCCTCTGGCCTCTCACAGACCTGTTTTCCTCACTCCAGAAGATAAGAGCACTACCAGAACATTCTTCCATGATCCAGTCACCTGTCTCGCCCTACATACTACAGGCTCCTTGAGGGGAGGGCCAATGCCTTCCATTCACAAAGGCAGAGGTCAAACCTAGGAGCATCTAACACAGTTCTTGATGTTTGTTTTACTTATGAAGAAAATGGAAATCTAAGAGATGAAACTTGGCCAGGAGTGATTTCTGGCTTCCTTCAAGAAAAGGAAGATTTGACCATAATGAGGGTACATTTCTACAAGGTCACAACTGGTAGTTTTATAATAGGGCCGTCCCTCCAGTTGGCTCTAATTTTGCTACATACCTATGGTCTCTCCTATTCCCAAGGCTCAGCGTCAGTTGCCATCGTTTATACTTCTGTCAGGCCAGTGTCAACCACTTCCATAACATGCCTAAGCCCTAACTAGAATCTGTCACCCTAAGTTTCTGTAGGACATAGCTAGTCCTGCTGCCTTCTATAATCAGAGAAAATTGTCCTGATAAAAGGTCATTTCTCATTTCCTCTCTCCCAACTCCCCAGGACCAAGGCTCCACACTAAGCTAGCTGGGACTTCCCTTGGGAGACGCACCTGCCTCTGAGGCCTAGGATATGACTTCCTTTACCCCGCCAGACCTCACGATCCCTGCACCACAGTCCAAACCTCTGTGCCTTAAAAGGAGCTGCTGAACTGAACTTGCACAGATATCTGCTCGAGCGTCGGACACCCTTCATTGGGGAGACCTTGGTTTGAGGGATTTAAAGCAGATGACATCTAAAGGACATGGAGGACAGCAGTAAAGGAAGGGACCCTAGAGCCAGAGCCTTACTGTGCCTCTTCTTTCCCCACCTGGCCCTGAACTTGAGTTCCAACTGAGGAGTGGATGGCGGTGCCTTGGAGGCCTGTAGGTCTTACCTGGGCCGGGGTCACGGCTGCTGGTGTCTCTCCCTCACTATCGGACTCCTCGCTGCTGCTGTCTGAATCATCCTCCTGCTTCCCCAGTGGGGCCTGGGCGGGTGCAGACTTAGGGGGAGCTGGAGGAGCCCCTTTCATGGGGGAACCCTTGGCAGGGCCTGAGGCATTCCTGACCTGGAGTTTATTTTCCAAGGGCTTCGCCTGCAGTGAGAGAGCGAGCGAGGGCAGAGAGACGGGGAATGTGTGAAGACGAGGAGGTGGATGGGCAAAGAGGGACCRTGGCCCTTGCAGGGGCTGGGCTTGGAGCATGCCTGTGGCTCCTGGCACAGACAGTGAAGCACAGGGGTGCTCCCCACCCAGCACCCTGGCCCACCTGTGCTGGTGCCACCTCCTCCTCCTCACTGTCTGATTCCTCCTCGCTGCTCTCTGAGTCCTCCTCCTCTGCCCTGCCAACGGACCCCTTCTGGGTCTGGGCTGCTCCGGCTACTGCCTTTCCCGTGGTGGCCACAGATGCCTGGCCCTTCATTGTGAYGGTGCTGTTCTGGGGGGTTCTCACTGATGGCTTCCCCTGAATTGGGAGGAGATTATGGTACTGGAGACACAGGGGAACAGCATAGCTCCTTTCAGTCCCCCATGGTATGACTCCCAAGGTCACCCCTGCCCAGGCAGGGCCTTGTCCAGGCTGGGGCCACTGCTTGGTTGTCCTTTCCGCCCTAACTCCTGACACTTCTTGTGGYTTCTGGCCCCACTTGCCTTGGCCGGGGACCCCTGTTTGGCTGGAGTAACTGCAGTAAGCACTTTTCCGGGGGCTGACGTGCCTTTGGCTGAAGACGCTCTAATGGGAGCTGGGCTGGCTTTGGCCTGAACGGTGTTCCCCAAGGCCTTCACCTGGAAGGAGAAGAGGAAGTTACAGGAGCAGGCGACATGCGCAGGCAGAATGTGCATTCTGTAGTCAGATCCTGAGCTCAGATTTGGGTTCTTTCATTTAATAGCTGTGTGAATGTGAAAGCATTTGATCTCATTGGGCCCCAATTTCCTCTTCTGTAAAATGAGGAAAATAACCCCACCTATAGGGTTATTGTGAGATTAAGTAGGAAATTCTGTGTTTGTTTGACACAGTGCCTGGCACATTCGAAACACTCAAATTCATTACTGTAAGCATTTTTCTTTGTGGGAACTAAGCATAAGCCTATCTAGAACCAAGGTGCCTTCTAGGTTCCATTTCAGTTAGGTAAAAGTTGAGGGCCATAAAGGGTAGGTAACATTTCTCTGCCTCCCTGCTGGCTAGAATGCTGAAGTAATAAACGGAGCTTGAGCAGCCATATTAATCTATGAGGAGGGAGCCAGGTACTGAGGATAATAGAACAAGGCAGAAACCATTTCCAAATTGTCTGTCTGGGTCTCCGGCAAATGCAGATCTTACAGAGAGTGATAAAGGAAATTTCCAGAGATCCTTGCCAGAAGTATAGCAGTAGGCCTGGCATTGTCAGCATCTCAAAGCCCTGGCTCATTCAGAGATGTCATCTGGTCAGTGTCAGAAGATACCCTACCCCAGTGTCCCTCATGTGCATAAAAATAAGTGGAATGAAGAGTCAGGACTTCAGAAAGGAGAAGGCTACCTGCACATAACCCAGGTGAGAGCTTGCCAGCTCCTCAGGCTGAGAGTTCACCAGCACAGAGCTCCTGTCACCAAAGAGGGTCTTGGCTTTTATACAGACATGAGAAAAAGGACAGAAGCTGCAAGGGCCACCCTGACCCGACAAGTCTCAACACATAAAAAAAGGGACTGAAATCATACAAAATCTGTTCTCCAACCACAGAGCGACCAAATTAGAAATCAACAACAGAAAGAAACCTGGGTAATCCCAGATATTTGGAAATTCAACAACCCACTTCTAAATAACCCATGGTTCAAAGAATAAAAATAAAACGCCCACCTCATGGTACAGGTGGGAGGCTCAAATGGGAAGACAAATACTTAAGCGATCTGCACAATGAAACCCGGAGGCACTGGATCTGCAACGTGTCTGCAGCTAGGAGGAAGGGGAGGAGCCTGCTGGCCCTGGAAGGGGCCCCTGCAGAGCCTGAAACCATGGTGGAGGAATCCCGGGACCTTGGGTGCCACAAGTCAACAGTAAGCAGGGGACAAAAAGATTAAATAAATGTATCTGGTACAGAGAAAGAAGAAATGACTAATATCTGAGTGATTATTGAAAAACACCAAGAGCGACAATGAAAAATAATAAAAGTGGGGGTGTGGATGGGGGTAGGGACTCTTTACTGCTTCCCACTCTTCGGGCGGGGAGGCCACACTGAATTCTGCTGCACATCAGCCTGGCCACCTGCACATAACCCAGGTGAGAACTTGCCAGATGCAGGGGCTCTGCTGGTGAGATCCACCCCCTCTCACCCATCCGGGAGGGCTGGTGGCGACACACAGTAGTCCAATGAGAGGCCCCACAGACTAAAACACGTGCTAGGACAGGAGCTGGAACTTGAACCAGGCAGTGTGGTTCCAAACCCTTGCCATCTACCCCTGCCACCAGACAAGATGTGCAGTACCCAAGCCAGGTGTGCTCCCCTAACCCCCCCCATCTGGTCTGCTTTCTCTGTCCGGAATCCTCTACCYGACACTTCAAGGGCGACTTCTAGCCCCTGGCTTAGATGCCATTTCTGAAAACCCCTGGATGTGACTTCTTTACTCTGCTAGTCCAGGCACACATCCTCTACTGTAACCTTGCCTCACCCTGCTGGAAGGATGCGTGCCTACGTATGTCCACACCCTGCTGGTGGGGGAGACCTCTTTGAGGGCCAGGGCCTCAGCAACCCCAGCCCAGGAGTGCTCCTGGCAGGGTGGGTACTCGACATAGCACGTGGAAAGCATTGGAACCTATGGGAGCTCACAGGGCCACACAGACCCTGGAGTTCTGCTGGGCAGAGAAACTATGGAGAGCCTGGTGGGGAGCGGAACTGGTGGAGGCCATCCTGGGGCTATTGCAAGAAGCGAGCAAGAGTGGCCCCAGGCGAGCCCACCCTCAGACCTGGCCTGGGCCTAGCGCGGGTGGTGCCACTGGCTCCTCCTAGGCCTCACCGGTGCTGGAGTGGCAGCCTCCTCCTCACTGTCGGACTCTTCCTCACTGCTCTCAGAGTCTTCAGAATCCTGAGCTCTAACCTGGGAAACTGAAGGCCCTGTCTTCCGAGGGGGAGCTGGGGCAGTTCCTTGCCCGGAGGGCGCTTTGGTGGGTACCAAGGCAGCTCTCGCTTGGAGGCCTTTCCCCACAGACTTCACCTGGAATGAAGGAAGGAAGAGGGGTCTCGCAGGAGCCCAGAGAGCACCAYGGGGCCAGCCCTGAGCTGGCAAGCCTACACGGGTCTCACCTGTGCCACGGCTGCTGCACAAGCAGACTCCCCCTCCTCCTCCGACTCCTCTTCACTGCTCGAAGAGGAATCCTCCTCTGGCTTCTGGGTACTCAAGGCCACAGCTGGGGATGAGGAAGAAGTCATGGTTCCTGCTTTCCAGGGAGCTGGGGTGCCCACGTGCACTGGGGGGATCTTGGAAGATACAGGGGTAATGGGAGTGCCTTTCTTGGGGGAAGCCTTGGTCTGAGGAGTTTTCAAAGCTGGTTTTGCCTGTGGGGACAATAATGAAGATAAATTAGAGAAGGTTCCTGGATTCTGAGGTACAGCCCCATTGCTGTTCCCTGCACCAGCCAGAACCCATATGCCAACTTGCAGGGCTGGAGGTCAGGGCGCTCCAGTCAGGAGGAATAGCTGCCTCAGCGCCCAGCCTCACCTGGGCTGGAGTCACAGCTGCCGATGCCTCTTCCTCACTGTCAGAAGATGTCTCGCTGCTCTCGGAGTCTTCCTTGGACCTTTCAGCCTTGACCTGGCTGACCCCAGGCCCTGCCTTCTGTGGGGGCGCTGGGGCAGCTACTTTCCCCAAGTGTCCCTTGGCAGAACCCGAGGCAGGTCTGACCGGGGTGGTTTTCCCGGAGAGCTTGGCCTGAGTGAGACACATGGGATCAGGAGAGGGAGCCCAAGGGGTGACGTGTGCAAAGACAAAGACGGAGACAGCAAGCAGAGTCGCAGCAGAGGGGACAGGGGATGGCAGGCCATGCAGGCTCCCACACTGAGAATGGAAAGGCCTGGCAGAAGGACCTCACCTGGGCCAAGGTCGCTGGTGGGGCTTCCTCCTCACTGTCCGACTCCTCACTGCTGCTCTCCGAAGCCTTCTCCACCTTCTTCACCTGGGCTGCAGGGACTACCGGGCTTAGGCCTTTCCCTAGAGGTCCCTGAACCACACTCGAGGCAGGTTTCATCTGGAGGTTTTTCCCCAGGGACTTTGCCTGGGAGTGACAAAGAACAAGATTAGGGAAAGGTGCTCTGAGGGGGATGCACAAGTCCACAGGAGATCTTTCTAGGCAGGGCGTCCTTCAGCCTCACCTGAGTAGGGTTCACGGTAACGGTCATGGCTACTGGTGTCCTCTCACTGTCCGAATCCTCACTGCTGCTGTCTGAGTCCTCCTCTGGCTTCACTGCCGAAGCCTGGATGGCAGCAGGCCCTGTTTTCCCAGGAGGCACTGGAGGGGCCCCTTTCCTGGGAGACTCCTTGGCAGGGGTTGAGACAGCCCTGATCTGAGGACTCTTCTCTGAGGGCTTTGCCTGCAGTGAGACAGTGGTGGGGAGAGTCAGGGTGTGGGTGTGTACACGGAAGAACTGACAGGCCAGTGACACCACAGGGCAAGAAGGTAAGTGGCTGGAGCCCAGCACAGGGTAGGAGAATAAGTCCCTGGAAACCTTCGGGAGAGCCCAGATTGACAGGTGTCCCTCCTCGGCTGTACCTGAAGAAGGGCAGTGGCGGCTGGGTTGTCCTCCTCGCTGTCAGACTCCTCCTCACTGCTGCTCTCCGACTCCTCCTTCGGTTTCCCCACCTTAGTCTGGGTAGCAACAGGCCCTGCCTTCCCTGGGGTTACTGTAGTGGCCCCTTTCCCGGGGATCCCCTTGGCAGAGGCTGGGGCAGCTCTAGCCTGGAGGGATTTCTCAGTGGCCTTTACCTAGTGAACGAGATGGGACAGGTGACTCTCTCTCTTCTAAAGATCCTCTGGTGATGCCTTTAGGCCAAAGCCCAGAGGCCCCAGTGGTTGCTGAGACCCCCAGCCTGCCTCCCCACCTGTGGCTCCTCTTCCTTTGCTCTTCTCTCTGCTCTCGGGCTCTCTCTGTGTTGCCTGGTGGCTTTTCTGTCTCCCCCTGAAATGTCCAGGCCACGCAGCCCTGGGTCAACCCCCCACCCCACCCCCGAAAATAGGTGGCTCTGATCTTCTAAGAACCAGTTATTCCAGGTGGCCTTTGTTTGGATCACTTCCTTTCAATTTTTTGAACCAACAAGGAGAATGTAGTTTCTGTAAAAAAGACACACCTGGGCTCCTTCTGAAAAGTGGACAGCCATGTGGTCCTCACTAGTCTTTGGGCACAAGGGAAGGGCCCTGAGCTGGGAAGCAGCAGCAGGCACACTCAGACCGGTCTCTTCCTACTCCTAATCCTACCTCGAGGCCTGGGCACAGGCTCTGCTTCCTGCCTAGAATGACCTTCCTTCCTGAAGATGTCCTTCTTCAAGCTAGGTCTTGACTCAGATCTCTCCTCCTGGGAGCCATTTAATTTGATTTTGTCATTCCTATGTGCCCTGCCTTCCTTTCCTTTCTTTTTAGAGCTGGGGACTGAACCCAGGGCTTTGTCTGCAAGGCAATCTCTTAGCCTCAGCCTCCTTTCACTAACATAACTTGTTCTCCTGTCTTCCTCTTGCTCTGATTCCAAGGGCTTTGCAAACCCTCCACCTTGCCCCTGGGATGTGTCCAGAGCCTTGGGGGCTGCAGGTCTGGCCATTCCTTAGAGGAAAGGTCCCAGCAGCAGAGGAAGGTACCTGGATTCCGTTAGCTAACATGGTATTTGTCTACTCAGAGTCTGGGCTGACCTGAGCCAGAGGACAAGGTAATTGAAAAGGGCTCAAGACCGTTCTTGGGCTGGGGTTATGGCTCAGCGGTAGAACGCTCACCTTGCACATATGAGGCACTAGGTTTGATCCTCAGCACCACATAAAAATATATGAATAAAATAAAGGTATTATGTCCAACTAGTCTATAAATAAATGTTTTTACAAAAGAGACCATTCTTAGCAGGATTAGCTAAGATGAGGACAACAGCCCATTTCCAGACAGGGAAACTGAGGCAAGTGGTGTGATCACTGGCACAAGTAGGATGCAGGACCCAATCTATGGGAACTAGCCATTCTAGGGTGCTGCATGGGCCAGAAGGGCAATGTCCATAGGTGCTGAAGCCTGCTACCCAGCTGTCCTTGATCGTCAACTCAAACACACTGCTATCTTCCCTCTCCCCAGCTCCACATGGGTCTTCTCTGGCAGAGGTGCTCACTCATCATCCAGTGGCTCTGCCAGAAACTGGGGGCCGTGGGCATCAGGGCCTCACCTGGTTGGGTGTCCCTGCAGGGACCTCTTCATCACTCTCAGATGACTCCTCACTGCTCTCCAACTCCTCTTTTGGCTTCTTGGCCCCCTGGGCTGGGGTCAGGACACTTTCTCTGACCTGGGGTGTCACATCCCCCATCTTCCCAGGCCTTGGGGCTGCCCTTTTTGCTGGAGACTCCTTGGGGGCAGCTGGTGAGGCTTTGACCTGGGCTGGTTTTCCCGAGGTTTCCACCTGGAACACACAGAATCCTCTGGTGATGCCTTTAGGCCAAAGCCCAGAGGCTGAGGAAATACATAATAACCATTTCATTTCCCCTTAGGTGTAGAAGGTGCTTCATTTGAATTTCAAACAGCACCTTGAGGCAGATATTATCATTACTCCTATTTTCCAGATAGATACAAATCACTCCAGGTCAACACAAAGGCCTTGGATGGAATCCCATCTGGAGGGGTCTTTCCTGGTTGGTGTCCAACCAGGGCAAACTCTCAAGCACCACGCTTGTCTTGCACATGGCATGCGTAGGGTCCAGCTTGGACAGGGGCAGCCAGCCTCTCAGGAGAGCTGATCTTTGTCAGCCCCTTAATCTAATGTTGCTGATAACATGGTCTTGCTGAGGGCCAGGATCTGAATGCCAGTTTTGCCACTGGCTTACAGCTGGGACACATTCCTTCTGTGAGCTTAAAAAATTCTAATTTCTAAAATTCTGATAGAAATTTTTTGGGGGATTGAATCCAGGGAACCTTAACCACTGAGCCACATCCCCAGCCCTTTTTTAAATATTTTATTTAGAGACAGGGTCTTGCTGAGTTGTTTAGGACCTCACTAAGTTGCCAAGGCTGACCTTGAACTTATGATCCTCAGTCTGCCTCYCAAGCTGCTGGGATTACAGGAGTGCCCCCACTATGCTCTGTAAGACCCCACCTGACCCTGGGTCATTCATGTCCTCAAACTCTGCCTCACTGCCACTGAGTTCTGCACTGGTCCTGGACCACTTAGGCTGCCTGTCTCAGCACTGGTTTGCCAGCATTAGCAGTGCCCTTTCTCTTGACCAGCCTGGGGTGATGGGACCAGGAGCATCCTTATAGCTGACTACGTCTAGGGCCTAGTGAGGATGGAAGTTGGGGTCAGGCCTGGGGCTGATGGGAGTGGCCTCAATCTTCATGGAGGATGGCACCCTGGACAACAACAACAACAAAACACCCCTAACTCCTGCTGGTCCTCCCTCTAAAACAGCTTTCAAACTAGACACCTTGATCCCAGTCATTAGCATCCTCAGCTACTGTTATTCCAACAGCCCCCCAGCTTGTCTATACAAAGGCCCCAGCTGGAACCCTTGGCTGTCTTGCTGCGAGAGCAGACATAACTCAGGCCACCTTAACCTGTTCCCAAAACACTGCAATGGACTCTCATAGTCCCTGCAATAAAACCCAAACTCCCATGGTGGTCTTCCAGGTCACATAGTGGATCTGGCCTGCCCACCTGTGAGTGACCGCATCTTGTAACATTCTGGCCCCCACTCACAAAGCTGCAGGTCAACATTCTTTAAAGCATGAGCTTTCTCTGCCTCCATCTCTGCATGTGCTGCCCTCCTGCCCATGTTTATTCATCAGGGTCAGGTTCCTGCTTCTGCCCTCATGGCTCTCCACTTCCCCTTCAAGTAACTGATGGATCCCATTATGCCTAAACATCTGGGAACCTTCTCTTTCCTGGTGGAGGCAGGCTCACCAGGTGTTCCCAAGGCCTGACGCTTAGTATATAGGGAATGACCTCTGAGGACTTCTCCCAGGTCAAAGTTCAGAGAAGAGACAAGGCCACAGAGTCCTGCCCTAGGTGGGCATTCACCAGTGGTCTGGAACACTCTCAGCAGCCTCACCCATGGCCACACATGACAGCGACACTCCTGCCCAGGGGCCTTGGTCCCACCTCTCTTCCTGTTTGGAATATGCCCCCCCTTTCCACTGGGCTCCAAGGCCACATCTCCCAGTAAGCTCACCCCATCTCCTTCCCTAACCCTAGTTACCTGATCCCTGAGCTATGATCAATATTGGGATCCCTGTAATCCCCATGCACCAAAAAGCCTCGCCAGGTCCTGGCCCAGTTGTTGAACTGATCTGGGCCCATTGGTATTTGAAGTCCCAGTCAGGCCCCCGGGAAGGTCAGAGGCTTGGAGAGGGTGACTCCTGTGGATGAGCAGCAATTACCTCCATATCTGTCTCATCGCTGGAGCTGGAGGTGTCCTCACTGGAGCTGTCAGCTGGACCGGCTGACACTGTCCCTGAGGGAAGAACGTAGAGATGAACATCATCTGTCTACTCCCAGCCTGCCCCCATGCTGGCTGCTAAGCACTGATTAGTTCCTCATCTGCACAAAAATCTCTCCTCTTCTGAAATGGGAACCATCATTAACTGTTTTCCTGCACAGCTATGGTAAGGGCCAGAACAGGACCCCACAAACATGCACCAGCACCTGAGAGTTCATGCATCTCCCTTCACCACAATGCCCTCGGAGGCAGGAAGGGCAAATACCCACTTTACTTAAGAAACAGTCAAACCCAGGCCTTTCTATTGAATCTCCAATCCACCAGAGTGATAAAATAAAAAATGCYCCAACCACCACCCAGGTTGCTTAGATGTTTACAGAAAGCGACAGTGACATCCCCCAGCTAATCTACGCTTGCTATCATGGAGACAAACCTTTGAATTCCAAATGTCCCAGAGCTTTAACAAAGCAGTGCCCAGGCTGGTCTCCCCAGCCCAAACCTAGTGCTGGGCTACTAGAGGTGGGGATTCTCACCAGGCTTGGCAGCGGCTCTGTGGCCAGGGACACTGCTCTCCTCCTCTGTTTCTGAGACCAAGGTGGTATTTGTTGAGGGCTCTGTTGACTTCTTGGGTGACTTTCCAGAGAGGAGATGGACCACTGCCTTTGCCGAGGGAGGATGTGGCACAGAGTTCACAGTCTTGCCTGCTTTCTTGGTCTTTGCCTACAGAGAACAAGAAGGTCAGGAACACCTGGTATGGGAGGCAGGATGTGTGAGGAGCATAGCCCGCCTACTACTGAACCTACCACTGCCACTTCTGAAGTGTGCAAGTTTAAGCAAACTGTCCCCTACCCATGGCCTTTACTTCTTCTTTCCTACAGTGGGGCTGAAATTGCCTTCCCCGGGGCATTGAAAGAATTACAGTACAATCCTGGGGCCAAAAGGGTTCCTTGTCAAGTGTACCAAACGTTTGTACCAAACTGCTGCTTATTTCACAATTACTTTTACATATTGTTGCTACTGTTCCAGTTTCAGGAACATAACCCTTTATAGGTCTATAACCACATTTTATGGGTTATCAGAAAATGATATCCGACTTTCTAAGCAGTTTCTGATTTTAAAAATGCCATTAGTTTCAGAAGCATTGGAATCTTGCTCACTATGGGGTCTCCCCAGCCCAGCACAGTACTTGGGGCACACCAGGTGCTGGCAAAGAGCTCCTCAGTGAACAGGTGAGTACAGGAATGAAGGCCATCGCAGGTACATGGGGAGCTCTGTGATGCCTCTCTGCAGTAGGCATCACTCCCAATTACAGGAAAGGAAAACAGGCCCAGAGAGGTGAAGGGACTCACCAAGATCATACAGCCGCTAACACAAGTTAAAATTTGAATCCAGGTTGGGCTATTTCAACCCCAACTTTTAGACATAGGGGACTGTTCCCTATAGGACACTTCAACTCCCACAGGCACAGTGTGGAAAGCGGTCCACTCACCTTGGCCTTCTCTTTCATGCTTGATGGCAAATGTGCCCCCACAGCAGAGACATTGGTAGATGCAAGTCTAGGTGCTGCAAGACACAAACACCACACCGCTGGATGAGCCAGATGGGCCTCCCCTCGAAGAATGGGAGGTGGGTTTCATCTCAACTAACAACTCAGTTGGTACTGACTGCCTGGGGCTGCTGCGAGAAGCTGACGCTGACTTCAAAAGTGGGAAAGAGCTACGATCCATTAGCCATGTCTACCAAGGAACATGGAAGCTCTGTATCCACATCCTGAGGCTCTCCCAGCTCCCCTGTGGCACAAAACAGCAAGGCCCCAGAAGGAAAGGACTGGCTCATGTCCCTGCCACCCACTACCACAAGCACTGCACAACTCTGGTGGGTACCATTCACACAGGCCACCATACTACAGGCCTGAAAGTCGCCTCTGAAGCAGCAGTGGGGGCTGGGAATGCAGTTTTGTCAGGGGGCACTTACCTAGCATTCTTGAGGCCCTGGGGTTCCACCCCAGCTTCCCTACAGCCCCCCACGACACATCCAGGAAAAGAAAAAAGGCACAATAGACAGAAGGTCAGCCCTGGGTCCACAGGGAAAGCTACTTGGAATTCAAATGTCTTTTTAATGGAGAAGTGACTGAACCATGAGACACAGGCCCAGTCAGATGTTTAGATTTATAGATTCTTAGTGCTTTGAACAAAGGTATAGCCTCCTCAGATCTCAGGAAAAGATTTCTAAGTTATTAAAAAGAATGTTACTGARATGAATGCATGATCTAATTCTTTTTCTGGCACTTAGTTCCATTTCTCTCCTTTCTGTAATGATGGAACATTTTAAACATATTCATAAGTACAGGGGAAGGATATTGAACCACCCAGCTCCAACCATTATCAGCTTGTAGCCAATCTTATTTCATCTTTTGTCTCATCCACTCTTCCCCATCATGCCTTGTTTTGAAGAAAATGCCAGACATTCTGTCATGTTGCCCACAAATACTTCAACTTATTTTCCTCAATGAGGACTCTTTTAAAAAGTATAATTACAATTCCATTATCACAGCTTTAAAAATTGCACAGCCAAGCCAGGCACTGTGGCACATGCCTGTAATCCCAGCAGCACGGGAGGCTGAAGCAGGAAGGTTGCAAGTTCAAAGTCAGCTTCAGCAACTTAGAGAGACTCTTGTCTCTAAATAAAATATATAAAAAAGGGCTGGGGATGTGGCTTAGTGGTTAAGCGCCCCAGGGTTCAATCCCCAGCACACACAAAAAAATTGCATAACCAGTCACTTTGAAATTTGACCATTTCTGTTTGGTGTATAGGTGTGCACATATGCATGTAAGGGTGGATATTTGTTTGACCTTGCATGCAAGGCAGGAAGTTTTACAGGCCACCCACCAATAGACACATGCAAGGAATGAAAGGAAGCAGGGGAGGAGAACAGGAAACCTTCCAGTTTTCTTCTATATAGTTTGTCTAGTTCAATGTGAACTTGTTTTGCATTTATAATTTAAGAAGATTAAGCAAGACATAAAATATATATCCAGTGTGATCTCAAACATCTCTCAAAGTAGGCTCAGGAAAAATAAATGAAAGGATAATTTGCTGAATTATAGGTAGCAAGAATAGGAGTGATTTTTTTTTCCTTTTCTTTTTCAAAGAACCTTCTCAATATTATACCCCTCCTCCTCTGTACTGAGGGTTGCCAGGCAAGTGCTCTAYTATTGAGCTATATATCCCCAGTCCATTTTTTTTTTTTTGTAAATTCTGAGACAGGGTCTTACCCAGGCTAGCCTTGAACTTGTGATCCTCCTACCTCAGCCTCCTGAAGAGTATAATGAATACTTTATAATGAATCTTGCATTTCTTTTACAATCAAAAATTATATTTAAAAAGTCAAGAAACTGAAAAAAATTAAGGAACTGTCTTTTATATAAGCAAAAAAAAAAAAAAGGTAACACAATGCCTAGGAGACACAGCGGAGGGTTATGACTGCTGCTGAGAAAGCACAGGGAGGCTTGAAGTAAGAAGGGGCAACAGTGACCTGCACAGATCACTCTGCTAATGCTCGGAAACCAGTGCCTGGCACAGCCCTTAGCACCAATGTGCACACTGCCAAAATGAGTGGGGGACAAGCACTCCTGAAGCAGCGCCCAGGGACACACAGAGTACAGGGGTCTGTTAGCAGCCTTCTAAAGCATTTCCAGCAGCGCTTCTGAATATGTGGTCTTCTTTCCACCCCATCAGAATCACTTCGGAGCTTGTAAAAATGCAGCTTCCTGGGTCCCTCTGAAGGACTATGTGCTGCACGGACCCACTTGGGTTTTTGGGTTTACCCTTGGATCCCCAAGATTGGGGACACAACATTTGGCACAGCTAAAAGGCTCAAACAGATCTGTGATGGCTTCCCAATCTCCCCACTAAAAGGTTCTGTCTTCCCAGGGCTCACACTAGGGGAGAAACTGGAGGAAGGCTCCACCCTGGAGCAATCTGCTATCCCACTGGCCCTTCCCTATGGTATAGGCCCCCAGCTGGACCCCCATAGGCACCAGGGATGGGGACCCGACTGGGAGGCCCAAGTCCCCTAGCAGCACCCCACATGCAGGGCTCTTACTGGCTTTGACAGTTTCAGCTTCTGCCTCATCCTCCTCCTCTTCTGAGCTCTCTGAACTACTGACAGGGTCTGACACTCGGGTCTTCTTGGCTTGCAGGGCTGCATCTTTCTCTGCCTTCCGCTTCCGGCCAAGCTCTGAAGTCCTGCAGGACAAGGATGATTGGCAATACCAACATGATGACAGCACACCTCCATAAGATTTGGGAAGAGAGTCCTTACCACATCCTCCTAGCCCTCAAAGGAAATGTGTACCGGGTTTAAACAGCGATGAGAACACAGCATAGATACAATTTGTATTCTGCCTTTTCACTCCTTTTGTAAAGTGCCTTTCCAGTTCTCAGTCAGTCTTGAAAATAACCATGAATGATCAGTAACGTTTCAGAACAGGAGCAGCTAACTGTCAGTGACAGGTGCTGTCCCATGTAGGCACTTTGCAGAACTAACAGCGCTCCTCCACTGCAAGCCCTTAATGCACGAGCTGTTACCTCTTCTTGAACCAGGGTCCTTGTCCCTCCTACCTGAGCTCTAATCCAGCCTCCTCAGAGCAGCCTGCACTGATGTCCCCTCCCCTGAGGCATTCTCTGCCCTGTCATCCTATTTCCTTTCCTTCTGAGCACCTTTCTCTATCTCCCGTGATTTTACTTGCTTCTGGCCTGACCCCCCAACTACACAGAAAGGGCTGGGGGTGTGGGAAGACTAGCAGCTCACTATAGTCCCCTCAGTGCCTTGCACACTAAGTGACGTGTCCAGGTAGAGGAGTAAGTTTGGGGCACTGATAGGAGAAGCACCCAGATGCCTGAGTCTCCTGAACTTTCAGGTTATCACCTCTTTTGACCCACCTTCCCACCTCCAGGGAGTCTACCTATTCCCCATGTCTTCCAGCTGGGGTGGACACTGCTCTGCCAGTTAGAGATGTGTGGCACAGATCCCTTTTTTCCCAGGGGGAGCACTTGTCAGGAATCTCCTGCTAAGAGGCTTCATTGACAACATTTATCCACTTGTTCTGCCTCTCTCCCCCCAACAGAATGTGAGTTCTGAAACACTAAGGAGTCTCTCTGGTTTGTTCCCTATTATATCAATAGTGCCTGGTTTATAGTGGGTGTCCAATAAGCACCAAGGTAGGYGGGGACCCCTCCAATTGTCAGCTTTAGCACTTTACTAAGGACTATTGGATTTAATCCTCAAATTGCAATGAGATAATTATGTTTTCATTTTACACATGAAGACTCAGGGAGGGCAGAAACTTACTCAAGGCCAAATGGCTGGTGGCTGGGTTTGAAATTTGCAGGGAATTATTGGGCTAGTTTGCCTAAAGGGCAGGAGTCTTAGTAGTACTCCTCACCCACAGAGGGGTCCAGGGCAGGGAAGGGCTTACAGCTGCTCACTGATGTGGTGTTCTAGGGAAGGAAGTCCTATCAGCAACACCCACACACCTGGCTCAGACAAACAGGGTGAGGAAGTATGGGGTGTGATCTGAGCTCTGAGCTCAATTTAGCAGCAGAGGGGAACCAAGACCTGAGGGCAGGCAGGGTTTTCAATGACCTTAGCTCTTCCTGGGAGGCTGGGATTTCTCCCAGACCGTTCCTGCCTTTGCTCACACACCTCTGAGGATAGGAAGCTCACTACTCTATCACTTATTTTAATTTTTGGACTTCCCGGATATTCAAGTGTTTGTCTTCAGAAATGAAACCTATCTTCTTCCTGCACAGGTATGCATGTGGGACCACTACACCCACTCCCTTTGTCCTCAAAGATGTGCAGACAATGATTCCCCAGTTCTCTCCTAATACTCCTATCATTCCTCATGGGACTGTCACAGCACCCCTCTCCCCAGTCAGCCACGGTCAGGCCAATGCAGGGACAGAACACAACCATCCCCTCSTCCACCCAATTTTTTTTTTTTTTTTTTTGGTACCAGCGATTGAATCCAGGGGTGCTTAACCACTGGCCTCTTCCCTAGCCCTTTTTCATATTTTGTTCTGAGATAGGGTCTTGCTGAGTTTCTTAGGTCCTCTCAAAGTTGCTGAGGCTGGCTTTGAATTCATGATCCTCTTACCTCAGTCTCCTGAGCTGCTGAGTACTGGAGATTAAAGCCAGGGGTGCTCTACCACTGAGCTACATCCCCAGCCCCTTTTATTTCATTTTGAGACATGGTCTTGCTAAATTGCTGAGGCTGGCCTCTAACTTACGATCCTCTGGCCTCAGACTCCTGTTGTTGAACTTACAGGTACAAGCCATTGTGCCTGGCACAATAGATGTCTGTTGACCTGTACACAGTGGTGCATGCCTGTAATCCCAGCAGCTTAGGAGGCTGAGGCAGAAGGATTGTAAATTCCAGGCCAGCCTCAGCAACTTAGAGAGACACTGTCTCTAAATAAATAAATAAACAAATAAAAATAAAGGCTGGGGATGTGGCTCAATGGTTAAGTGTCAATGGATTCAATCCCCAGTACCAAAAAAAAATAAAAAACAACAAACAAACAAAAAAACTTTGTTGATCAAGTGGATAACAAACTTGTGAGACATTTTGTTTTTAACAGATTAAAGCTCTTACTTAATGCCCACCCCACTAGTGGCCAGATACCCACACATGTGCTATGATCTGGTTTCCTGGGAGCAATTAACAGTGTCCACAGTGAGCTGTCTTAGACAAGATTAATAACCTTGTTTATTCCAAAATGATAGCTTGGAGGTATCCCTATTTAAACCTTTAGCTCCACAAAACTTACAGTTGCCAGTGTGTATAGATGTCCAGAAGTGTGAAAGGCTGAACCGGGAATTTTTTCTACAGAGAAGAAAAAAGAGACCCACAATTATCCCCTGACACAGTAAGGATTCTCCTTGGGCTGAAATATCCTCTCCTTGACCTTAGGGCTTACATAGACAGGTGATTCAGACATTTGTCCTTTGCCCTAGGACAAATGTCTGCTTGGCCTTGCCAATCTTCCAGAGATGAGAAGTGCAAGTAATTCCAGTGGGAAACCTTTTTGATACAATGTGATGGTAAGAGGCACCTTTGTGAGGCTAAAGCTAAACTATTCCAAGCTAGCATTTATTCAGCCTCCTTGGTACTAGCCATTTTTAGATGCCACAAGACAGGGTTTTTCCTGCCCCYGACCTTTTAGAAGGCCTTCAAAGGCCTAGCCAGTCAATTCCCAAAGCACAAACCACAGCCCAGAAACTCAGGCATCCACAGGGCATGAGTGTAGCCCACTGGTCTGCTGGGAAGAGACTGAGCCCATGTGGTATTGGGTTCTGGAAGAAGAAGAGGGAAGCAGGTAGAATCTAAACCCTTGGAACAAAGGCCAGAGGGTCTGCTTTCTCTGTGAATGTCAAGAACCCAAACTGTCATGTGTTCTAAGGAGGGTGAACGAGCAATGAGACAAGGACACAGAGCATCGGCAATCTGAACAGAGTGGCCAAGAGGCACACCTGAGTCGGGCAGAACTCTTCAGTTAGCTGGACACACTATTTCTTCAAACTTGAGAATCCTTCTTTAACATGGGGATAATAAAACTCACCATCTAGGAAGGCATCAGGTATGAAGGGGACAACAGGTGCTGGCACAGCACAGTGAGCTGGTAACCCTGATATTCAAGGATCAGCCTCACTCTGCTCCCCCTGCCTCCTAGCTCTAGGCACAGTAGCTTCCTCACTGCCCTCAAGTGTCAGGTGAACAGCCCTGAGTAGAGCTTTGCCTTCTGGAAGAGTGCTCTCTTTCCGCTGCTAACTACATTGTTCACTCCTTCCTTTTCTTTAGTTGTCTGCCCCAAGTGCCACCTTCTCAATGAGGTTTTCCTGATTGTGCTACTTATAGTGGAACCCTGACATTTCTTATGCCCCTTGGCTGCCTCATTGTGATAGCCAGCACCTACCATCAGCTGGATACCCTACACCATAAGCGTCTGTTTTGTCTTTGTCACTATCTGTTCCTGCTAGAACATATGTTTCATAAGGGCTGGATACTTTTACTTAGGCACACACTCCAATGAAAATGGTACTGTATCTTGCTTCTCTTATCTGGTAAGTAATATAACCAGAGTAAGAAGGGCAAATGAGGTCCAGGGAGGGTTGGGAAAATCACAAATAATGTCTAAGGCCCATCACCCTTTGGTCCCTCCAGGAGGTCCAGCAAGCAAGCATTAGGACCAGAGATTTTACTGTAACCAAAGTGATGTTGACCCATCAGGTCAATATCCCTCTCATCAGTTTAAAACTCTCCAACAATTTACTCTTCAGGTGAAGACCAAAGCGTCTATGAACAGCTCCAGCCAATCTATGCCTCCATCCCCTGGAGACATAGGCCACAGCTGATTTTCCAGAGGCCAAGGCATCTGCAAATTCCTACCCTCCCTGCCACACACACACACTCCAGGGTATTTGCTCCTCTGCCTGGAATACCCATCTCTCTTCCTTCAGCTCTCAAGTTAACTGCCACTTCCTCAGGGAAGCAGTCCTGGATATTCCTAACAAGGCACTCTGCAATCCCGGTTTTAGCACAGTATCTCTCATTCTTACTACCTAGTGTTAAATGCAGTTACTTTTGTGATTCTTTGATTGGTCTCCTGTGCCAGACTGCAAGCTCCAGGAGGTCGGGGAAACGTGTTCACCACTCTATCTTCTGAGCACAAGATTAAAGTGCCCAATGAATGAAGTGAGAAATGACTGCACCAGGAGTTGGTGATCCAAAGTTGTCCGTCAGTGATCAATACCCAGGATGGCCAAGGGCCTGAGTTCTAGAACAAGAGGTAAGGACTCCCTCCTCTTGGTGCTTAACACGGGGCTGATCGCAATCCTTTCCGAGACCAGCACCAACCACCGCGCCCTAGGGGGGGCCGCGCCGAGCCACGTGGCCCAAGACTCGGGAAACTTAAAACCGCCGCTACCAGAAAGGGGGTGGAGGGAAAGGGCGCGGGAATTACAAAGTCCTGAGCGTGGGATCACACGTCCTGGCCCGCCCACTGCCCAGATGGGGAAACTGAGGCCCGAGTGGGTTGGAAGTCGCAGAGGGGAGACAGAGGCTACCTCTCTCCCACCCCTGGCCCTCGACCCCGAGCCCTGCAGGGACCCGCCGTCCACCAGGTCTCCCGGGGAGGAGGCGCGGACTGCTGCTCTAGATCTTGCACGCGGCCTCGAAAGCTCACCTGGCTGCTCTGCTCCTTCACTGCCCGCGCCGCGCGCACGTATCCGGCCTGCACCAGATGCTGGTAGATCAGGGGAAGCAGCTCCTGCCGCTTCCTGGCTTCAGCCATGCCCGCGACCCGGGCCAGCCGGCTCACCTGCACGCCCCGCCCCCACGATCCCCGCCCGCCACTTCCCTCTTGCCCTTAGACCTCGCGCGTCCCACTTCCGGCTCCTCGTTCGTCCCCACCGCGCGGCGCGCCGGGAAGTGTAGTCTCACTCCCTGCAGTGACGGGTCCMGCTCCGGCAGGCGAGGGGGCGGAGACTTCCCGGGCAACAAGCCCTCCCATTGGTGAGGGGGCGTGTCAAGTCATGGACATACCCCCAGGGCCGGCCATTGTAGCAGTGACCCTCTTAATCCTTTAGGCTGCTTCTTGAAGAGATTTGCCCTCCATGGTAATTCTTTTAGAGCCTGCGACAGGGTTGACTCCTCTCTGAATTCCCTAATCTACATCTCTGGCTGCACCCGAACTTCCAGTTATCTACTCATTCCCTTCACACATTTTTTTTTAGGACCCATGAACCTGGCATGAGTTGTCATTGGTTTATTCATTCAATCATTCACTGATTGAACAAATCCTTGCTGAGCCCCATACTTTGGGCTAGCATCTGGCTAGGTGGGGGCATAAAAGGATGAGTTAGATGTGGTGGTTGCCCGCACAGCTCACGGGGCTAAAGACAGTTACCAAGCAACTGTACAGTTCAATGCCTGGTGTGTGCAGTCGGGACAGGCGCACCCCAGGGGAGGACGAAGGAGGGGCACTTAATTCCACAGAAACATCTAAACTAAGGCTCAAAGACAGTAGGAGTTTACTTTTTTATTTTTATTTTTATTTTTGGTACTGAGGATGAAGCCAGAGACACTTTACCACTGGGCTACATCCCCAGCCTTCTTTATTTATTTTATTTATTTATTTTTTTAAATCACTTTTGTTTATGCTTTTTTTTTTTATTGTTGGTCATTCAAAACATTACATAGTTCTTAATACATCATATTTCACAGTTTGGGTTGGGGATGTGGCTCAAGCGGTAGCGCGCTCGCCTGGCATGCGTGCGGCCGGGGTTCGATCCTCAGCACCACATACCAACAAAGATGTTGTGTCCGCGGAGAACTAAAAAATAAATATTAAAAATTCTCTCTCTCTATCTCTCTCCTCTCTCACTCTTTCTAAAAAAA